CTGGAGAGGCCAGCATGGAGTGGAAACCAGATTCTGGTGGTCACGCAGACCAGATCTCTCCTGGTAGTGTTTGCTCCACGCCACAGCCCCTGCCCTCAGGAGCTCCCACTCGACCCCCTCCAGACGCACCACTCTCCCCGCCCCCAGCTGGCCTCCTCCTCATCTATCCCTGCCTAGGCCATGCAGCATCTCGGACAACCCTCATCAATCAGTCCCTCCAGCCCTTTCCATCACTTTCTCATGCTTCCCGAAGCACGCGGCTTTCTATGGCCAGCCAGTGGGCCTGTGGCCCCAGGGTCTCAGCCCTTCCAGGGATGGAGTTACTGGTCCGGCACCCGAGCAAGCCCAGCTTCTCTGCCATTGATGATCTGGAGACCAGTAGCCAGTCCCGTGCCTCCTGCTGATGGTTGGTAGCCAGCCCCTATCTCTTCCGAGGTCCGGGGTGACTGTCCGAGAGGATTGCTAGCATCTCCCAATCATCTCCATTGCCTTAGGTGTTTGTCCCCCAGATCTGCCTAGGGGTGGAGCAGTGCCAAGGCTCAGACCTTGGCATGGTGGTTTTGTGGGGCTTTTCCCAGTGTCCTTCCAGAGCTATGAGAGCAGACGATAAAAGGCAAGAAGTTCAAAGGTGAAGCTCCTTGACCCAGGTCCCCGAGATGGTCGTGTCACTGTCTCTTTTTGGTTTCGTGGCCCCTTATGCTTCTGAGACCTTAGGCCATTGTTATTTTTCACTCACTCGGGTGGTCACTGGACTCAGTGTCTCTCCCCTGACTGTCACCTCCATGAGAACAGGCACTCAGGACTGCCCTGCCTGCCACTGCCGCCCAGTGCCTTGCCCAGTAAGACACATGCGATGCTGGTAAGTATCGGAGCTCACACACATTAGATGCTCAATAAGTCTCATTCAGTTATCGATGAGTAAGTTATAGATTCATGCATCCATCCATCCATTCACCTCACAATGCTGGAGTAGCAGGCCCTTCGATGGGTCCTGGGATAAAAGGATAAATTAGATGTAGACTCTACCCTTAAGGAAATCAATCTGGAGAGGAAGATAGAGTTGCAAATTAAAACTTACACCATGACTGGGAAAACGCCGGTGCTGTGAGGTCGCGAGTGGAGGTTGTGAGTCCTGACTGAAGGACAGGTCTGGGGAGTGGCGGTATGCTCTCCTGGACGGTGGGGGGGGGGGAGGGAAGAGGGAAGGCCTTCCTAGACTGAGGGGTGCACAGGGAGCCCACACAGGCAGGACACATTTCGTCCCTTCACCACGTAGGAGACAGTTGGTTCCCATGCACACCCTCAGCCTCGGGATGAGGAGGACCACATTTGGGTCTAATCAGGGTCGTCTGAAGACTTCCCTCTCCTGTCATTCAGCCTGACTGGCTGCCAGCAATCTCTTCTGCCAGGGAGTTCCACGACTTGAGCCAATTTGAAACAATCTTATGAGATTTTCTGAGCCCAAACCACCTATCTTGTCTGCTCATGCTCTCTCTCATCTCATGAGTCCACCCAAGAATCACCTTGTCGCAGGGCACAGCTGTGCGCAATTTCTGCATCTTCTGGATACCGTTCTTCTTCACTTCCATCCTCCTCTTTTATTAAAGATGTGTGTCTGTCTGTGTGGTATATGGGTGTGTCTGTGTCTATGTGTGTTTGTGTGGTGTGTGTCTGTGTGTATGTGTTTGTGTAGTGTGTGTCACTGTGTGTATGTGTTTGTGTGGTGTGTATGTTTGTGTGGTGTGTGTGTATTTTTGTGTGGTGTGTGTCTCTGTGTGTGTTTGTGTGGTATGTGTCTCTGTGTGTTTGTGTGGTATGTGTTTATGTGGTGTGTGTGTATTTTTGTGTGGTGTGTGTCTCTGTGTGTGCTTGTGTGGTGTGTGTCTCTGTGTGTGCTTGTGTGGTATGTGTCTCTGTGTGTTTGTGTAGTATGTGTCTGTGTGTATGTGTGTTTGTGTGTATGTGTTTATGTGGTGTTTGTGTGGTGTGTGTGTATTTTTGTGTGGTGTGTGTCTCTGTGTGTGCTTGTGTGGTGTGTGTCTCTGTGTGTGTTTGTGTGGTATGTGTCTCTGTGTGTTTGTGTGGTGTGTGTCTGTGTGTATGTGTTTGTGTGGTGTGTGTGTATGTTTGTGTAGTGTGTGTACATGTTTGTGTGGTGTGTGTCACTGTGTGTCTGTGTGTGTCTATGTGTATGTGTGTTTGTGTGTATGTGTTTGTGTGGTGTGTGTCTGTGTGTATGTGTTTGTGTGGTGTGTGTGTATTTTTGTGTGGTGTGTGTCACTGTGTGTTTGTGTGGTATGTGTCTCTGTGTGTTTGTGTGGTATGTGTCTGTATATGTGTTTCTGTGTGTCTGTGGGAGGGGTGCTCAAGCCTTTGGGTGCAGAGGCCAGAAGAGAATGTCAAATCTCTCAGAACTGGGGTTTCAGGCATTTTGCAAGGCATCTGGCTGGTTATATGGGTACTGACATCTGAGCTCTGGTCCTTAGAACTGAGCAGCAGGGACTTTCTTTTTTTAAATATTTTTTAAATATTTATTTATTTATTATGTATATAATAGTTTGTCTGTGTGTATGTCCAAAGGCCAGAAGAGGGCACCAGACCCCATTACAGATGGTTGTGAGCCACCATGTGGTTGCTGGGAATTGAACTCAGGACCTTTGGAAGAGCAGGCAATGCTCTTAACCTCTGAGCCATCTCTCCAGCCCCTCCTTTTTTTTTTTTTTTATTTCAAGCAGGACTTCTCTGTAGCTTTGGAGCTTGTCTTGGAACTAGCTCTTGTAGACCAGGCTGGCCTCGAACTCACAGAGATCTGCCTGCCTCTGCCTCCCAAGTGCTGGGATTAAAGACGTGCACCACCACTGCCTGGCTGCAGGGACTTTCAATGGCTGGGTCATCTCTCTGGGTGCCCCTCCTCTTTGGCTTAGCATCACCGGATGCGTGTACCTTTCCTACTTGCTATTGTGAAGGTTGAAGGCGAAACAGGCAAGCACACAGGTGTAGACTAAAGGAGCGAGGAGGCTGTGAACTGAGGGAATCTCCAGAGAAATAGCCTTGCGTAGAAAGAAGTACAGAGGGAGAAAATAATGTCTCAGGAAACTGGACTTGCAGTGACTTAGTATCACTCGGATGTGGTATGATGTGAGCATTTAGAGACAAGCCAGTTACTCCATTATTCCTTGAAGTCTGGAATATTTCTTTTGCCTTTTTCTTTTTTTTTTAATGTAGTCATGGCTGTCCTGGAACTCGCTATGTAGGCCTGACTGATCTGGAACTCACAGAGATTCATCTGCCTCTGCCTCCCAAGTGCTGGGATTAAAGACATGTGCTACCATGCCCAGTTGGAGTCTGGAGTAATTTTGTAAGGGAGAACCTGGTTTGGGCCTAAAAATCTTTGTGGATTACCTTTTATGCCACCTACCAACACACGGAAGCTACTGCCCCGCCTAGGGAGGACACCTGGTTCCATTTCCAGCAGTCTTTGCATGAATTTTATTCTTGCTCTCGTCTTTACAGAAAACAGCAGAGAAATCATGCTCTGAACACCGAAAAGTTCTGACCGTTCAGTGTTCCAAACACGCCAGTATCCAGTTTCTTCCTTCTCATAGTATGTACACTATTTACACGCCAGGGCGAGAGTCTAACATCTCAGCCCGGAAGGAGACAAAAACTAGCAAGTGGGAGCATTCTATGAGCGGAACGAGGAAGAAACCAACCATCAAAACAGATTAAAAAGTCACAACTCCCTGGCTCGGGCCTTTCTTGTGAAGCAGCCCCTGCAAAGTTGTGTGGGATGTCAAACTTCATGGGGCAAAGGGAGTCTTGTGGTTGGCCTGGGAATCCAGGGACAGAGGACTCCGTAAGGCTGTGTGCCCTGTTGCCGATATAAAGATAGGGGTGGAGTGGGGAGAGCGCTCCCCTCCTCTGCAGGCAGAAGCCCCTCAGTCCAGCATGGTCCCTCCTCTACGGACATGCAGCTGGCAAGAAGCTATGAGTACCTGCAGCTTTCTGTAGGTTTTTCACTGGCCACCTGCCTTTATTTGCCTATGAGCTTTGCTCTGTTTCTTCCCTGTCGCACATCCGTGACACATATGTGTAGCACAGGCCCGCTTTAGGTTTTTAGACCTTTTAGGAATGCCTAGGTCAAGGTAAAGCCAGGTCTGTGACTTTCAAGCTGCACCGTGTTTCCCCAAAGCAGGCACGTGTGAGCCGATAGGCTACGACAGAGGTTCTCAACCCATGGGTCGCGAACCCCCACAGGGGTCCATACAGATGTCCTGCATATCAGATATTTACAGCTCATAACAGTAGCAAAATTGCAGTTATGAAGTAGCAACGAAACAATTTTATGGTTGGGGGGGATCACCACCACCTGAGGAACTGTATTAAAGGGTTGTAGCATTAGGAAGGTTAAGACTACTGGTATCTCAGGGGCTCTAGCGGAAGGAAGCCTTAAACAGCAGGTCAAAGTCTTAGGCAGAAGAGCCAGGATGCTTCAGAAACACAATTGTGCCCTGGGCACAATTCCGCAGCAGTACAGTGAGCCGCGGCATTGGTGAGAAGTTTTCCCTCCCTCAGGGAGCAGGGTATGTACACCGATACCTATGGTATTGCTACCTCTGCAAAGGAGGAACCTAGGGCAAGCTGGGTACGAGAAAGAAAGAGCCGGAGGGTGATCCACAGCGTGGCATGGGACGGGGGGGGGGGGGGGGGGGGGACCAGTCTGAGACTTGCTTTGTTTAGTCTTGGTTCTGGCCTTTGGTGGGTAGGGCGGAAGATGCAGAGGTTACACATGGACCAACAGAGCGATATATTCACACAGCAGGAGCCAAGGTCCAGGCCTGCTAGAAGGAACCAGAACCGATGGAGAGGGAGGGACCTGCTGAGTGCTGGGGTGCCCAGGACACCTGAGCTGGTGCAGGTCCAAGTCACAGCTGTGCCAGGCTGTGGGCTCACAGTAGCAGGCTTTAGGGATGGGCGGGTGGAGTCCACAAGCTGTAAAAGCAGACTAGACAGCGGAGAGTAAGGGGTAGGCTTGAAAACCAAGCGTCACCAAGGGATGGAGTGGTAGGACCTTGACGCTGGGGTGGCAAGAAGGCTCCAGAGGCAGGCTGTTAGGATGAGGAAGAGGAAGTTTGAAAGTCAGGAGTAGGTCCTGGATGTCTCAGCATAGTGAAAAACTACGGCTAGAACTGGCCTGTGCCTAGAGCTGCTGGGGTAATCAAGGGCCTGTGGTGTAGGGAGGAGATAGAAGCCAGGCCTGGCCTCGCCTCGGAGAGAATTCTCTGCACCACAGGCCCTGAGAGGAGGAGAGTCTCCGGGTTCCAGAGCCAGCTGTTCTTGACCTAAGCCATGTCCTCCAGCTGTGGTGGGCTGAGCTTCTCTGCTGGCCTATCTTCATCCATGGCTTCCTCCTCTGCTGGCTTCTCAGCGTTCCTGGCCAGGCTGTCCGGCCCTGACACAGTCCCCAGAACCTTGGTGCTGTGCTCCTGAGCTTTGGCTCTGAGGGCCGCAATGCTGTTCTCCCTCAGTTCCTCCTGGGAGATGGCTGCCTGGGCATCTGGAGCCCTGTCCTCCTGCTCCATCTTGTCGAGCTTGGGCAGGGTCTGCCGTTCCACCTCAGGCTTCCTTCCCGACTCAGCTGCTGCCTCCAGCGACTTTTTGTGCATCCCTAAAAAGAATTGTTGGTATTCGGGTTTAGAAAAGCGCCTGGGAAAGCCATCTTGAACTGAAAACAGCAAAGATAGAGAGAGGCCAGAATTAAGGAGGAGAAGAAAGTCTTTCTTCACACACCACAGTCAAGTCCCACAGCTGGACCAGGGTCAGGGGGTGGGAGGGAGGGTGGCTGGCGGGGAACCAGGTCTTCAGCGAAATTCTCTACACCAGACCTTGGGCTTGAGCACCAACCCCCCGCAACCTGTCCTGTTCCTTCAGGGCATCTCCCCTGGCCTTTTGTCACAGGATCCCAGGTCTTAAGACCCCAAGATAAGCTGATGCCCGGATGGCAGTTGATAGAAAGAAGATGGGGAGGTTTGGGGCAAAGAAATTCTTGGACAAAACTAGAGAGGCGGCCAAAGGGACATGGGAGCTCGCTTAACCCACACGGGGAGATAGTTCATCCACTTTAAGCTCACTAGTCACAGAGGAAGGAGGACAAAGCCTAGGGCGAGGGTCACATCCTCCTCACAGGACAAAGGAAGCCAGTGACTCCAGAATGGGAGTCCTGACACTCAGGAGGTAGGTACAAAGGATGGCCCCAGAAGATGGGGTGGCCTGCTTGGAAGACCTCTCTCCCGTTGGGTCTCTGGGACCCAGGCCTCCCTACCCAGTGTTCAGTTCCCTCTCCCTGGAGCCCGCTTGCTCTCCTCGCCACAGGGGCAGGGCCCCAGGGAGGGTGCGGGCTCTTACCCAGTAGCCACGGGGCACAGGAGTCCATGATGCCGTCCTTGGCAGACTTGAGGATGGACTCAGGCAGGGGGATGGAGTGCCGAACCATGGCCCCGTAGAGCCCGTACTCAGCCATGACACTGCTCCTGCCCCAGCACTTTTCTCTCTTCCTCCACTTGGCTCTGCGGTTCTGGAACCAAACCTGGCAGTGCAGAGAAACGGGCAGAGCTGGGCTCTGAGAAACCCTAGGCCCGAGGCCTTCACCCCGCTCTGCCTCAGAGGGGGTTCTTGACCCAGCTCTCCTATTCCACGGAGTCGCGGAGTCTCAGGGAGGATGGCAGGCATCAAGATGAGACAACCGTGGGCAACATGGATCCATTTCTTGTTTTAAATCAAAGCCTGTCTAGGAAGACTGGCTAAGGGCGTTTCCAAACGAGGCTCTGTAGGTGGGCAGCAGCCCAGTGTGCAGGTAGAATGCCCACACACATGCAAGGGACCTTGCAGATGCTCACACTTCAGTGTAGAGGTGTGTCCTGCCTCCTGGTGTTGCAACAGGGTGTTATTATCTATGAAGTTCTGGCTTGACTACCACACAATCAAATTTAAATAAAAATATAAAAGCCAACTAGACAGTGGTGATGCACACCTTTAATCCCAGCACTCGGGAGGCAGAGGCAGGCGGATCTGTGAGAGTTTGAGGCCAGACTGGTCTACAGAATGAATTCCAGGACAGCCAAGGCTACATACACAGAGAAACCCTGTCTCAACACCCTCTGTCCCCCAAAAAGCCTAAACCCTATCATATTTTAATTAACTTTACAATTTTGTATTGGGACACTTTCATAGCTGTCCAACCCATAGGCCATGCCTGTAACAGACCCTCTGGTTTGCAAAATGACAAATTCCAGGAACTGGAGACATGGCTCAGTGGTTAGGAACACTAGCTGTTCTTCCAGAGGACCCAGGTTTGATTCCCAGCACCCACATGAGTTCACAACATCCTGTAACTCCAGTTCCAGGGGTCTGACACACTCTTCTGAGCTGTGAAGGTACCAGGCACACACAAGAAGTGCTTGGAGATACATGGAGACAAAACACACATATGCATTAAATGAAATAAGAATTTTTTGTTTTGTTTTGTTTTTTGTTTTTGTTTGAGACAGGGTTTTTCTGTATAACAGTTCTGGCAGCTTTTTAAAAAAATATTTATTTATTTATTTATTTATTTATTATATATACAATATTCTATCTGGCATGTATGCCTGCAGGCCAGAAGAGGGCGCCAGACCTCATTACAGATGGTTGTGAGCCACCATGTGGTTGCTGGGAATTGAACTCAGGACCTCTGCTGAGCCATCTCTCCAGCCCCCCTCTGGCAGTTTTTTTTTTTTTTTTTTTTTTTTTTTTTTTTTTTTTTTTTTTTTAGAGCAAATTCCCTGCCCTCTTACCTGCCACAGTGAGGGAAAAGTGCAAGAATATGTCTGTGGAGCCCAGAAGTGTGGGTATACTTGTATACTTGGAGGCATGGCCCTGCTGGTGTCTGGGGGTCTGGCAGCAGGTGGTAGACTTCTTGGGTACTGATCTGCCATGTTTTCCTGACTTCTCCCATCTGTGCCTGCCACAAACTTTGCTGCCCCCATTTCAGACCTAACTTCGGATGGAATTTTAGAAAGGTGGGTGACATTCCTGGGTCAGGAAAGGAACGTGAGGTTTTCTAGTGCCTTAGGTCCAAGAAGATAGGGACCTAGCAGAGGACTTGGTAGGTGACATTCCAAAGACTGAATATCTGGCCCAGAGTTGATTGGTATGGGCTGAATAAGCATAACACTGGGGTCCCTTGGGGTGTCTACAGCTGCAGCTTCATCATCACCATCTGCAGGGCTGGGGAAGGAACCCAGGGCTTGCCATGCTAGGCAAGCATTCTATCACTGAGCTACATCCCCCATTCCACTGCAGCTTCCTTCCAGGGGGAGATCCAGGAATCCAGCCCTATTCAGAGGATCAGGATGTTTCTCATCTCCCCCAAGCAGCCTTCCTGAGACCAGAGTTTCCCCAGCCTGTCTGTGATACTCTTTGGGAAACCGGTGGGCCTGGAAGCCCCAGGGCGCTTCTGGTCCCATCTTGATCGCAGGGTAGAAAACTAGGAACAGAAAACCAGTTTCCTGGGGGCTTTCCATCTATTCGCCTCTGGCGCCCCCCGCCCTTCCCTGTGGGCCCCTCCCCCGCCCTGGGCGGCCAAGGTATCAGCTTTTGATGAAAAATTGCTCCTGCTCTATTCAGGAGGCGGCAAAAGAAGAGTCACCCCCAGGGGCAGCCCTGGGCTGATTGAAAAATAAGTTAATTTCAGTTTGAATCGATGGGCCTCAGGCACTGAAATATCACGGGAAATTAAAGCGGCTTCTCTCCCGGGAGCTACGGCATTGACCCGCACTAATTAATGCTGGGGAGGCAGTGATCGCCTCACCGTGAGCTGCTCCCCTTCCCCGGGGGACCCCAAACACTTCTCATTTAACTAATTAGACGGGGAAAATTGGGTGTTAATTTGTTTAGGATTTTTCCCCCTCTTCCTCCCCGGCAGCTCCCTCCCCGGCCCCCGCCCGGTGCGGGGGCGCGGAAATGAATGCGGGGCTCGCCGGCAGATGGCTGCCCCGGTCACTCTGCAATCTTCTCCGACTTGATTGCTTGATTAGGTCGTTAGCACATTAAAAAAAAAAAATTGCTTGCCGTCTGGCGCTGGCGTGATGAGTGGGACGCGCGGCAGCGCCTGGGTAATTTATCTTTTTATACGGCAAAGAATTTGATTTCAATCTGCAGATATATGGGGGCCTTTGACACCTGTTTAACTTCGCACCGCTGACAGCTTAACCCTTTGCTGCCTGGGCAGCTGGTAGTCAAGGCTCGGACGCCGGGCTTAGGTGGCTGCACTCACTGGCGCTTCCCACAATCGCCGCCAGGTGGCGCAGTGAGCGCTGATTGTCCCTTAGCAGCACAGTCTGGAGTCGGGCCGGCCACACCCAGCAGGGGGCGCTCCTGACGCTGCCCATCCAGTTAAGTACAGGGATTCTCTTGTCCCTGCCTGCGAAAGACCTCAGCTTTCACAAAGCACAAAGCCATGTTTGGGGACCTCTTCCTTTGCAATAACCAGGAGCTTCTAAGCGGTGGTGGCGCGCGCCTTTAATCCCAGCACTTGGGAGGCAGAGGCAGGCGGATCTCTGTGAGTTCGAGACCAGCCTGGTCTACAAGAGCTAGTTCCAGGACAGGCTCCAAAACCACAGAGAAACCCTGTCTCGAAAAACCAAAAAATAAATAAATAAACAAACAAATAAATAAATAAATAAAAATAAAAACAGGAAAGGGCCAGATGCAGTGGTACATGCCTTTAATCTGAGCCCTGGGGAGAAAGAGGGAGGTGGATCTCAGCCATTCTGGTCTACAGAATGAGTTCTAGGCCAGCCATGGCTACATAGTGAGACTGTCTCAAAAATAAATAAATTAAAAAAAAATCAAAATGGGAACATCACTGCCTCAGAAGCTGTGATTCTTCTGTCCTCCTGATGACCCAAAGCTTTAGAAAGCCATTGCTGGACCCTTCCTGGGTGGTGGCACTTGCCGGAGAGACACACTTTCGCCACATGCCTTTAGAATCTGCTGCTCCTGTTTAGATCTGGGGAGCAAAGACAGAAAACCTCCTCCTGGTACCCCAACGCTTGGGAAACTCAGGGAGAAAGAGTTCATATACAGTAGTGATAGCTCAGCGGTTAAGAGCACTGGTTGCTCATCCAGAGGCCCTGGGTTCAATTCCCAGCAACCACATGGTGGTTCATAACCACCTACAGTGAGATCTGGTGCCCTCTTCTGGCCTGCAGGTAAAGCACTGTGTACAGAATAAATAGATCTTAAAAACAAGTGATGACCGCAAGCTGACCGTCCTGTGTGCATCAGAGTCCCGAGACATGAAGACGGCCTGCTTGTCCTGCCCTGGCCTCACTCTGTTTAGGTCCAAGTTTGCCTGCCTGTTCTCCAGGGTGTCTGAATGCCCTATCAGAGTATGAAGTTTGTCTGGGACTTGTCTCATCTCCCATCTGCCCTTGGTCCCCGTCTACAAAGTATCCACTTGTTCCAAACTCCCTTCTCACAACAGAGGCAAACTCTAAAAGGACCAATCTGTATACAAGTATATATAAATGACTCCGCGTCCGCCGTCCCTCAGATGAGACAGTATAGAATAGATAAGGACAGGTTCCACCCATCAAAACTAGGAACGGAAACAAGCCATATGCCTGCAGGCCAGGAGACAGCCGGTTCCGGGGGAGCACAGAGTTTTGGAAGTCACGGAGGGCATAATTCTTTAAACAGAATCCCTACAGCCAAAGGCTATCTGGGATTTTAGAAACTATACGTAGCGTGGACTGGAGAGATGGCTAGTAGTTAATCTATAAGCTGAGCTGCTCCTCCCGAGGACCCGAGTTCAGTTCTCAGCATCCACATTAGACATTATAGCTCACAGCCTCCTGTAACTCAGGCTCCAGAGGTGTCCAATGCTCTTTTATGGTCTACCCAGGCACCGGCACCCACAGAAACAAAAACGAATCTTTGAAGAAAGCATATGTAACCAGTCAAGGAAGCATAGATCTGTGACCCCAGCACTTGGGAGGTAGAGGCAGATGGAGGAGGAGTTCAAGGCCAGCCTGGGTCAAATAAGACTTTGTCTCAAAAATCAAGAAGGAAGGAAGGAAATATATAGCACACATTGATGCCACTCCTCCCCGAGCACCGCATAACCATATCCACCGGTTTCTGCAGCCAAACACACCCACACCCACAGAGAGATACCCATACACTGCACAAGGTCTGCTTTCACCACCAAGTGAGCTTTGTTGCTAAAATCATTACAGACCTCCCAGCGGCAGCACAGTTTGGACTGCGGGATTGTGGAGAAGGCATTGTGGACTGTGCAGATGACAAAGAACTCCTGGCTGCCCTCCATGGAAGGTATGACCCTTGGATGGTCCAGGGAGTGCTGGGGGAGGGGCAGGGCTATCGGGTGGGAAGAACATTTTAGGTACTAAAGAGGGGGTGTACAGGCTTACAGATATGTTCTGGACTCATAAGCAGAACCCCTTTCCTGGTTCTCCTCTGGCAAATGAATCACTACTGTGGAGATCAACTTTTGCCCATGACTCTCTCCCAGGGGAACACGCT